TCGACAAGGAGGAGCTTGTCCGCACCCACACGATTGAGACGGGCGAGCTGCGCAAGAAGGTCTCTGTCCTGACGGAGCGCCTCGAGGCCGCCACGGGCAACGGCATGGCTGTCGCCCCCAGCACCACCTTTACCGACTTTGCCTCGGAAATGGACAACCTCAACATGGGCAACAGCGACTGGGACAACTACATCTTTGTCAACGACTTTGCCTCGGACGACCAGCCCACGCCCCAGCAGAACCAGGACATGTCGCTCGTCTCGCGCTCCAAGGAAGAGGACAAGCCCGTTGCCTCTGGTCTCTTGCTCATGCTTCTGCTCTGCGGCGCCTTTGTCGCAAGCAAGTCGGGCAACGCTGCTGCGCCTCCCATTCCACGCATGCCCGACGACGTGCGCGCTGCCTCGGCCACAGTCCTCGACAGCATCTTCAAGGACGCCGGTGTGGCCAACGGCCTGAGCGAGCAAGGCCTCATTGCCAGCCAGGTGACTGGTCTCGAGCCAACGCCATCCGGCATGGCTTGGCCCAAGACGACCATGTCTGGCTCTGAGCTTGCCGGCATCTCGGGCTCCAGCCTCGACCAACTGCACTCTCAGCTGACCGGACCCACCAAGGACCAAGAGCACGAGCAGCTCTTCTCCATCACGCCCGACCAATACAACAGCATGACATCGCTTGACTTTACCCGTTCGCGATACAGCGTCACGAGCGAGGACCTCAGCGACCCACTGTCGCCTAGCTCTCAGCCTTCGCACCGCCGCAACCTTGCCGAGACGCTCGCCGCCATGCGCGAGCAAAACAAGGGCGACTCTGCTGCCGAGATCTACACGCGCAGTCTGCTTTGGGACAAGATCGCTCCCGAGGTTGTGCATGAGTTTAAGCGCATCGTTGAGGAGTCTGCCGCCATGTCGCGGCCCACGACATCCGAGGGCACAAAGGTCGAGAACCTGGGTTAGGTAGAGAGGCCACCCCGCCCTCCCCTCCCTCCCTCCCTCTCCCAACCCCACTTCACCCCACCCACCACACCACACCACACCACACCACCACACCATACAACACTACATACACTAGGTGTACACTACGCCACACCAACCCACCTTTTCCTTTGTTAGTTTCCTAAGTTGCATTAGTCGTTTATCAGCATAGCGATTCACTTCTTCACCCCCTTGTACACATACACCAACACAAGGGGGTACCTGTAGGGACACAAGTTGCATCACGGTCCGGCTGACATCTCGTTCTTTTGCGCGTTTCTCTTTTGAACGCTCACAACGAGCATCGCCATTTCCTTTTCTCAATGCTCTGGCCTTGCCATTCTTCTACACTATGGGACGGCAACGTCGATTCTGGGGTACCTTGCTGCCTTTTATCGCTTGAGCATGGCGGTTGTTTTATTTCACGTCGAGACGTGTTTCACGACTTCATCCATACTTGTTTTTTTGGCTTTGACTTGTTTCCTTGTCTCTTTTTGCATATCCGTCTGTTCGTTTGAGCAGTCGCGATTGGCTTGTTTCTGTATCTATTTGCACAGCGTAGCGAGCGTTGGGAATTTTCTTTGACGTTACACACGAAGATTGAAGATGGATATGGGTCATGTATCGAACGAGCATGACCAACGATATTGTACATGAAGGCACATGACAGCGAGGACCAACAGATTGCGCATTTTTCTTGTTTTCTATCAAGCTTGTTTTTGTTTGTCTGTCTGTCTGTCTGTCTGTCTGTTTGCAAGCGATGATGATTGACAATACTGTTGCACATGCTCTTCTCTGCACACTCTTGTTCCCTGCACACTTACTTTTCCCTACACACGACGATGACTCTTTTTACCCCCCTCGGATAACACCATGGGGGAACAGGCGGTTTGTTTTCATAATACCCCACCCTTACCGGTCCTTCTTTACCCGAGTATCATGACGATTCGGACCAAGAAAGGAATCCTTTTTTGAAAGATACCACGAGCGGCTTTTTTTCCTCTTTCTTCTTCTTCATCATCATCGTCGTTTTCGTCATCATCATATCATCATCATCAATTTTTTTTATTTAATTAACGCATTTCGTCTGTTTTGGGGGCCGAAACTTTCAACCAGCTGGCACAAATACGGCGGCCGTTTCTGCGACCCGTGGTCACAGCGGATATGTGTTTGCCAGGCTTCATTGGTCGGCAGTGAGGCCGGGATCTTTCCTTGACACTCTTTGTTCCCATCACCTTTTGTACCTTGGGCTCAT